TAGCAGGGAAGAGAAATGATGCTGGAGTATGTAGCCACTGGTACAATTCTGTACTTCCTGCTGATAAACCCCAGTTATTGGATGAAGAGATCTACAAAGGAGCTGTTGATAACAACACTTTTAAATAAAAGCAGAACAACAACATGTAGATGACTCTAAAACTGTCTGTCACTGAATTGGGGTAACCCAGTTGTGTCCCTTGTCCTTTCAGACTGACTAGTTCCATGAGACAGCCTCGTGTGAGAAAGGGTTCCTGTCACCAGAGTCCCCAGGGGTTTCCTCACACCTGCTTGTAACCATAACATTGTACCATGAAGAGAGGATGGAGTAATTAATGAGGTGTCCACATGCATATAGGAGTTCAAATATAAAATTTACTGTATTTATTAAAATATGTGTAGGTTAATGTTTATAAAGATTAATGTTTCAGGTGTGTTGAGCAGCAACACTAAGTAATAAAGTAAAGTCCATTGGTGCTTCTACAAATCAGCCCTTAATTTTACTCTGTAAAGAGAATGAAAAGAGCTTCTGAGTATTGCCTTGTGTAAATAGGTTCATCAGGCTGCAGTGGAACTCATTTAAAGCTTTTCCTGTGAGCAGCAGACAGATGCTGTTCCCCAGCACTTTAGGTGCTTGCTTAATGTTGGCCTACCTGTTCTTTTGATACCTCTATTTTTCTGCACATAGTTTTTTTTTTCAATGAAAGGAAGGGTTGGCTTTTTGAACCATCAGAGCAACTGGCCCCAAGGAAGAAAAGAAAGCAAGCTCATGGAGTTAAATGAATGGTAGAATCTAGCAAATTGTATCAACTAGAAATCACTTTTTAAAATGCTCATTACTTAACAGTCTGGCAGAGCCACATCTGTTTAATTGCCTCTGTTCCCTAAAAAGACTGAAGCTGTGGTCTTTGAAGAAAAAATGTCACAACTGAAGCGGGTGTGCTGCTTAAAGGCTGGCTTCAAATGAGCCTCAGAGTGCCGGAGAGCAGTCTGGACAATCTGAAGAAGAACAATTCAGTCTGAAAGAACCAGCAGAATTAATTTGGGACTCCCAGCTCCCTGCCAGTCTTACTTAACTGGCAGTGTCTAGAGCTTTATCTAGTTCATGCTAAACAAACTGGGAAAATAGCAAAGGATAGTACACTAAAGGAAACTTGATAGTGAATACGCTTTTCGGTTAAGGCATCTGAGGAGCAGATTTTAAGACATTTTATTGTCTTATTGCTTATGTGGTAGGAAAATAAATGAGAACAAGAAAACGAGAAAAAAACGATGAGTATCATCTGAAGTATTTTAGCAGGATAAAAATGGAAATAGTTTATCATCCCTACAGGAGGCACTTGAGATAAGTAATTGTAGGTATTGGAATCTTTTTTGCTATGGCATGTTTCAATATTTATTTATTTAAGTCATTAGAAGTAATTGGTTACATTTATCTTTGATATTATGTATTGGTTTTCTAGTTAGTAGAATGAGTGAAATCTTTTATTTAGTAGGTATTTCTGTCCTAAAAACTTCTAAAAAATTGCTCCACAGGGCAACATGAAACTTTCATTGATCTACCCATGGAGCAGAGTCTCTTTGTACAGAAAGATTTCAGTACATTAGAGCATCACATCTGCTGTTTTAACTGCATGTCTGATCTCTTGATGTCCTTCTTGAAGGCATAATTTTAAACCCTTATCCATAACTTAGTTTAGAGCTGGAATCTGTCTTTTTTTCCCTTCCAAAGAGAAAGGGAATGAATCATAGAAATCTTCAGATAACTAGCTGTCATGGTTTTGGCTGGAATACAGTTGACTGTCTTACTGGCAGCTGGTGTAGTGCTGGTTTTTGGATTTGAGATGAGAATAGCGTTGGTAAAACACTGATGGTTTTGGTTGTTGCCAGGCAATCAAGACCTTTTCTGCTCCTCACGCTGCCCTGCCAGCAAGTAGGCTGGGAGTGCACAAAAGATTGGTAGGGGATACACCTGGGAAAGCTCACCCCAACTCACCAAAGGGATATTTCATACTGTATGACATTGGTAAAACACTGATGGTTTTGGTTGTTGCCAGGCAATCAAGACCTTTTCTGCTCCTCACGCTGCCCTGCCAGCAAGTAGGCTGGGAGTGCACAAAAGATTGGTAGGGGATACACCTGGGAAAGCTCACCCCAACTCACCAAAGGGATATTTCATACTGTATGACATCATGCTCAGTATATAAAACTGAGGGAAGAGGAAGGAAGGAGGGATGTTATGGCACTTGTCTTCCCAAGTAACTGTTACGCAGGATGGATCCCTGCTTTCCTGGAGATGGCTGAACACCTGCCTGCTGATGGGAAGCAGTGAATGAATTCCTTGTTTTGCTTTGCTTGCATGCGTGGCTTTTGCTGAACTTACTAGGCTGTCTTTATCTCAACCCAAAGTTGAGATTCTCTCCCCTATCCTGGGGGGGCAGTGAGTGAGTGACTGTGTGGTGCTTAGTTGCCAGCTGGGGTTAAACCATGACACTGGCTTTGCCACCCTCTGCTATGTTGAACATCTTTGGCTTTCATTCCTAGAGAAGTGACAAGAGATTTTGGTTGTAGCTTATTAGATGTTCACTCATCTCACACAGAGTCTTTGAGAGGACTGCAGTGTATTATATTTTCTTCCATGGGTATTCCATGGCTCTTAATCACAACTTCCTCTCGGTTCTTGGAAGGAATATAGATTATCTAGTACCTAGATTAAATCCTCAAGTTCGTTTCATTTCAGGATCTTTCTTTGCCAGGCCTCTTGAAACAGGTGAGATTAATGTATGCTATTTTCATGGAAGGCAAAACTTAAGATAGCTGGATGGCTATATAGTTCCAGTACCAGAAAGGTCTCCCTGCCTTCCCCTGGTTAGTTTTTATTTCTACAGAAGGGTCCCTCATCAAGCCAAGAGTGTACAGCTATAAATACTCCTTCAGCATTTCTCTATTCCGAGATGTAGTGTACAGTTGAAGTGCCTGATCTCAAGAACTAAACTCCAACAGTTTACACTGGAGACTGGATCCAGGACTTTTTGAACTCATTGAAAAACTCCCATCAAATTTAGCAATGTGAGAGTAAGTCCTTAGTGCCCCTTCTACAAGGAATCAGGTCCACTTAGATTTAACTATGCTTTTTGGAAAGGAATTAAATGTTGTTTGTACTGTTTAAGCACATAAAAGACAGGGATTATTGTCAGCTATGAGAAATCACAGCTTGTCCTGTGTCTGGGGACTGAACAGGGCTCTTCTTCCTTAGTGAATTCCAGGCTCCAATCCATCCATGTACCTGGCCATGCTTTCATCAGGGGAATAGTCAGAAGAAGATAAGCTATATTCCTACCTCCCTTCTCTTTACGTATCATCTGGGGGAGTTCAGTACCAAACACAGACAGAAAGCAGCAGGCTTTACCTTTATGAGGTACCCCTACAGTACCTTTATGAGGGGCTGGACCTCTCTTCTATATGAAAAAATAGCTTCATTATACTTGGGTCAATCCACTACTATATTGAAGTGCTTATAGCATGTGCTGGGATGACCTTGGGCAGCTGCCAGGCACCCACCCAGACACTCTCTGCCTTCCTCAGCAGCGCAAGGGGAGAAAATATGATGAAAAAGCTCATGGGTCAAGATAAAAACAGGGACATCACAAAGCCAATATGTCTTTTAGCTAGGTTCAGCTCTGAGACCCTTTGCCAGAAAACAGACATTTCTGTCATGAGAGCAAATGACAAAAATGGTTGTAGACTACAGTCTCAGGGATTCTTAAAATATTGGGATTGTAGGAAACTAGGTATGGATTTATTATGTCAGTGGAAACAATGTGCAGGGGTTTAGTGCTGGTTAGAGCTGATCAAAAACACTTTTAACACCAGGTGAGCTTAAAGAAGAAAATAAATCTGTTCTGATAGAGAAGAATTATGTTTATCATTATGTTGAGAATACAGAAGAGATAGCCATGTCTTGCCTGTCATGCAAATTTCCCCTGTGGTGTCTCTGGAGGCTGTGGGGCTAGCTCATAAAATGCTGCATCCTGAGTACTGGTTTGCCAGCTGGAGTTTGGGACAGTATTTAGCCACAGGAACCAGAAGGTCGACTCTGTATGTCTTTGCTTCCTATATTCTGACTTTTGAAGTCAAACCACGACATTACTCAATGGGCTAACCAGTTCACTCTTTATTTACCCTGTTTTCCTTGCCAGGGAGCTTTATTTTTTTGAGATGGACCCCTTCCTCTCTCTACATTTTTCTCATCAGAATTTATTTCCTGTTACTTCCCTTACCCCAAGAATGGTATTTCTGTCTTTAAATGAGTTAAAACTGTGATAATTTGTGGTTCTTCTTTCCCCGTTCTTTGAGATTGAGATTTAAAAAGGAAATGCAGCAAATTGCTTCTTCCCTGAGATTGTCTTCCTTTCCAAACTGTTACAATAAATTATTTACCATGAGACATAATCACTGTGCATGTACCTTACCCATTGCTTTATTGCTGGTTCTCAGCTTTTCATACATTATGGCTAACTTAGTGGACATGAGAGCATTCTAGGTTTTCCTTGGATGCAGGAACCTGGATGAAGTGACTCAGCCCCATCTCAGGCTAAGCCTGGGCCCAGGTTCACGTTGCTCCTTCCACTGGCCCTGTGGCATCCAGGAAGGGCTTATGGTCCAGAAGGAGCTGTGGCACACTCTGAGCAGGGTCCACACTTGGACAGCTAGGTGATCATGCAGCTCAGATGCACCATTAACACCAGACTTGATGTAGCTGCAGAGCCATAGCAAGGCCATATTGCTAATATAAATGACAGATTCTGCATTTAGAGTGGTTTGGTTTTTTTGGTTTTTTTTTGTTTTTTTCAGAATAACATCTGCTTTTTCAAAGTGCCTTTCCTCTCTGCCCCTTATCAGTTTTGGTGGTTCTGCTGTTGCCATTCTCAAATTGGAAATAAATCAGTTGCAACACCTCATTGAATCTTTCTTTTTCTTTTCTTATGTTTCTTTTTGCAGATGACGCAGTAGCTGAAATAGAGAAAAAAATTATGGAAGCTTTTGAGGTGTTTGACCATGAATGCAATAAAACTGTGGATGTCAGGTTTGTAAATACCTTCACACAGAAATATTACAGGATCTAGCGTAGAGATAAATAACTCCCTAAACCTGCCTCTGCTTTATCAGAAAATGTAGTTGACACAGTCCTTTTGGCTCTGATTGGGCAGTTATGTCTTTGCTTGTTTAAAAGATGTTTTGCAATGTTCAGTGGTTGAAGATGGAAACTGGCTCAAGAGGGATGCTGGGACTGGTGGAGTAAAGAGGCAAGAGGAAACTGCAGCTAGACAAGAAGTCTAAGGCTAAAATTATTACTAGCAAATCTCTGCTCCCATAGCTCATTTGGCACTACAGGTCCTGGATCTCGTATGGATCCTCTTGCTTTCAGGGTAGTTGCAGCACATCAAGGGGTGTCCCTGCCACTGTGTGTCAGTTACCTGCTCTCAGTAGGTATCTCCAATTGCAATGCATCCTGCACATCCCTCTTCTTCTGGGGTCATGTGGGTGTTGGGTGTGGCTCTGATAACGTTTTTAGGAGACTTGGAAGAAAGTTGCATGTAATTTGATTATATAGCATAATAATAATAAAAAACATAAAGATGATCATACTTGGTTGCGCCAAAACTGCGTTTAGCCCAGCACCCTCATCTGAGCTACTAATAATTACTTGGGGGAGGAATATAAGGAATTGAGCAAATACGCAGTGTTTCTCATGGGTTTTCCTACATCTGCCACGTTATGATTGGAATGGCACCTGATTTCTTTTGGTCCTGTGATAAACAGCGAACAATTGTTCTTTATTAATCTTCTCGACACCATTAATGATTTCACAGCTGTCTGTCACATCTATCCTCCCTCACAGTAGTTTAAGGCTGAAGAGTCTAAATGTGTTTAGTCTCTTAGGAGATGCTATTCCATAGCTCTGGCCA